TGAGAAGAAGGTTAACTTCTCACTTTCCCACAGTGGCCCAATATGGCGAAAACTTCCGGGGATACCCGGAAGTCACATGAAGAGTGGGAACTGGGCCCGGAGCATGCGGCACGCGGAGCATGCGGGGCAGAGCGCACATGCGGGTCCGGGTCCGGGTCCGGGTCCAGGCTAGTCAAGGTGTGTGCCCTGACAGTTAGCCGACTGAATGGTAAGAAGAAGATAGTCATGCTAAGAATGGAAGGTGACTAATAAGAGATGACATGAGAGGGGTCACCGAAGGATGCGGGTAGCTCCGAAAGCGGAGTTGCATAGCCGAAGGATGTTGGGTGACTCCAATAAATGAAATGGGCGGAGAAATGGTTTAGGGGTATGTCACGGGATGTCGGAGGTCCGTCGGGATATTGGAGCAAATCCGGAGTCTCTGAATGTTCCGACTCGGGACCGAGCTTCCAGGATGGGAGTGGCCAAGGTTCGGTGTGCTGCAACCAGACCGGAGCTGAGACAGTCAGGAAGGAAGGTGACTTGGGGAGTGGGGAGGCATGGTGTAGGGGATGGTGAAGTTGTTAGGAAGGTGTGGTGTGGTGGGAGTGCACGGGGTCAGGATTCCAGGATATGACAGGTAGGGCATTTTGCCTCAGTGACTCTCAAGGAGTGCTGTGCCCCCTAGCTGTCTCTTGGCCCTCATTTCAGACTCACTGGGGTTGCCTTGCTGGAGTCAGGACTTGGGGAGTCATGGTCAAATCAATATTAGAGCTGAAGTACAATAAAGTATCATTCAGGATATATATAGAGAGAAGGAATGAATGGGAGCGGACCTGGGCCGAAGGCCGAAGGGTCCGGAAGCAAATATCAATAGGGATCAGAGTTAGCCAGCAATGACCATGGGTCAAACAAACAATAATGTCATATCCATCTACAGCCATCATCCTCCACTACCTCCGATCCTTCTCTGCTCCTTTGTCACTAACCTTGGAGCCTCCATATTCCGCAATCACCTCCGACTCCTCAATGGTCACCACCCCCTCAATTCAATATATTACCTATGCCTCCCTAAGTACAGAACTGTCAGGGGATGCGCATGCTCACGCAGGATGCTCCGATAACCTAGTTGTGATTAAAGCCAGGGGAAAGGGATGTCCCCATCTTAGGGTCAGCTATATACATGTAGAGTCCGGCAATAAGGAAACCAAACAGATTGCCGATAGAATCACGTGATCATAGAATGTTCCAGAACAATGCCAGAGATGATCCGGGTCACCGGGGCTTAGGTAAGCGGAGTAGACGGGAGTTACCGGCATACTTCCCACGCACATATGCACAGCCGGCATAGGGTCCAGGGTCGTTACTGATCCCTGACAGGAACCCCGAAGGCCTCTGGACAGCTCCGACGTCTGCTAGCGCACTCCTGCCCCTGCTGGGAAATTCACTTGCTTGCCCTGCAAGCCTACCTTCAGGCCTATCCCTCCTTTCCATTTCTGGGTTATAGCTGTCATTCCGCTAACCCTGTAACCTGACTCGTTGGTAATATTCAGTCGGCTAATGTTTAACTCCGTTAGCTCTGCTCCACTTGGCCCCACCATTCATGGGCCTGCCCTCGCTGTAACTCTATATACATAACTTGTAGATAGGTTACACCCCAGTGATAAAATCGACTAGAGTTATCCCCCCTTTTAGTTCTCACTGCCAGTAAGTAAATTAGGGCATGGACGTGTAACTAGGCACAGTGCTCCTGGTCTGAGTTGCTGAGGCCGAAGCCCTCCACCATGGAGACATATCCCTCATCTTGTATCCGGTCTCTAACAGGTAAACAAGAAAGAGCATAGGGTTGCGATAGTGGCAATGGTAATGGTAGCAGTACTGGACTCAGAGTTGGGCCGGAGTCGGGCATGGGAATGATGGCAGTCCTGTAGGGGCCAAGTGGGTGGGGTAGAGGAGTTGGCCAAGTGTAGGGGAGCCTAGGGGCAAGCAGGGGAGTGAGCAGGGAGTCCTCAGGGAGGATAGGGCTGAGGTTGGGGCTCGCACTCATGCTCGCATGGTGGGAATGGGCTCAGGCAGCATCGGGATGGGCAGGGAATGGGCCAGAATGCATGGCCATGACACCTGCACACAATATTGTATGCGAGGAACTGCAAGTAACAATTGCAGAAATTTCTACTCCATCTAACCCACATCCACCACCGCTTGTGTGTAAACACCATTTACACACAAATCCTCATGGAACAAGTGAGGAGAAATACCAAAGATATATAATCTTTGGGTCGAAATCTATTTTCAAAACTTTCTTCTTCTTTTATTACTTTTCCCTTTCACAATACCCATGTATCACCGTTCACTTCAAAGTGATGGCCTCACACTCATTCACTCCTTCAACTTCTCTCACCAACATGTACAAATTGCCCACTTTAAAGTGGCAATAACAAAACACTCATTGATAATTTCAAATTCAATGTAATTTCCTCTTTTTTTTCTTCCTCTTTAACCATGTATGCATCGCATATGCAACACAAGGGGGGAGAATGTCAGGGAAATAGCCCCAAACCCTGAGCCATATGTAATTATGATGTACATAAAGTCACATGGGTAAGCGGGAACTTCCATTAACTGCTTACACACACCATAGAATACATACCATTGTATCACTTATGGCCTCATGTGCTGAGTGATCCCACTAAGACCTGTCAGGGCCTGGCCTCAGACTCAGAGGCTCCCTGACCTCAACCCCCATCTAACCTGTCCTCACACTATGCGGGGCATGAGATGAGAAGAAGGGTAAAGGAATGGGTCACATGCCCCAAACTATACAGCTCCTAGAGTTGTGTAGTGTGACCCAGAGGGAACATCCAGGTGGCAGTGCCCAGTAAGTGTGGGAACGTTCTGGGCAAGTTGCTCACCCAGAATTGTGGCTGTGACCCATGGGAACATTCTGGGTGAGCTGCTCACTCAGAAAGTTCCCACGCTATCCTGTGCATGTGTGTACAACGACACACAAAGGCAACAACAAGGCAACAATCAAAGAACAAAGGGAGTGAAGTAGGTGGGGAGTCCGGGGCACCCTAAGGCAGGGTGCTGAACCCTGACAAGACCTCACAGTGGGGCAACTAGACTTGGGGACTGTGGAACTGTGGAACTTTGGAGGGGACCCAACAACCTGACAAGTAGACAAGGTGGGAGCTGAAAGCAGGGAAGAGAGAGAAGAGGGTAGTGGAACCTGAGGAGAAGGAAGAGGAAGAGGAGAGGGGATAAGAGAGTGGAAGTGTATAGTGCAACTGGTGTAGAGAAGAGAGATAGTATATATATATGGAGTGCAACTGGCAGAGGGGTTGGTCAGGTGAGTTGAGTTTGGGTGTTGGGTTGGGTTGGGTTATAGGGTGATTTTTTTTGGATTTGGATGCTTGATTTGGTTTGGATGCCCAACCTTTGGGAGTTGGAGTGGGAAAACCTCACTGCCACTGCACTTCCACCTTATATGGAGGCCTCTCAAGTAGAAGTACCCACAGTGTCAGCACTCTGTACACTGAGTCTGACCTCACTGTTTCACCCTTCCCAAACAAAGAAATAAAAGCATGCAACAGCACATGCTCTGCATCCAACACCCATTCCTTACAATCTCTTTTCCTTGGATACTGGGTCTATTCAGTACTGCTCTGTTGTTGTACAAGGTTGTCTTGCTAAATGGAATGAGGGAATGCAGATGGCTCAATAGTTGGCCACAAATAACAAGTGTCCAATTAGGGACAGAGAGGTAAAAATGAATTCGGGAAGTGGTGGATCAAAATGGGGATTTAGCAAGTAACTAGAATGGTTGCTGCACTCCCCTGACCTTTCTGGTGATGGGAATTTTTGTACCCAACTATAGTCAAATCAAATAATGGAAATCAGGAATACTGTTGTGGAGACAAGTCTGTGCACCGAAAAATTCCCAGATTAGCAGATTTTACCTGGTAACACACACTACACATACAATGGTTCTATTCTAATCTGCTGCATCACTATCCAACAGCTCATTTCCATATTTTTCCTCATGCACCAAGTCAAAATTCCAATGCCCAACCACACTGCCAACTTGATCCCCCACATCTCCACAATCACACATGGAATCTAACCAACTCCTTAAATGATGGTGATGTTAAACCACCCCTCCTTACCCACAGTGCATTTCCCAGAATGGATATTTGGAGGATTCAACATGATGTAGAACCTCATGTGGTCTTGACAGCACCTGTCAATGGCCATACCTCAAGAACTACTGCACCAATCAATGGAGTTAATCTCTATATTTCCATTTTTGATCTGCTATTGTAATTCCCCCATTCATTTTGTTGCCTGATTGGACACTTGTTATTTACTGCCATCTTGGGTCATTGTCAGGGCACACCTGCCTGACCCCACTCCACCCAGTCCAGCCCCACCCGATCCCACTGTCCTCACCCAGTGCCCCTGCCCTCCTTCCTGCCCTTTCCCTTTTCTTCTCTTTCCCTCTCTTCTTTCTTCTTTCCTTTTCAATTACACAGATGACTTTCCTTGCATCAATGTACCATTGACCTGGCCACAGTGCAACATGCCTGGACCCAGGCACACTGGGTGACCTCCTGCACACTGGATGCTTCTGGGATCTCTTGCAGAGATACATAGCTGTGTGTAGATGATGTGGCATCTCCCACGTGGCCTCAGCCACATGTATATAAACATATGTAGCCTAAGTGGGAACTGGGAAGTAGCCTTCTTCTCACACTTCCCACTTCAGCTTAAGTGGCCAGGGACGCCTGACTACACTGGGCCTGTTGCTATGTGCACCACATCACACCCTACCAGGCCCTCCTCAGTGCCAGGTGATACACCCGGATGCTCTTGACCCTGGGTCGGTCCCTGACAGCCATTCACATATCCCCATTCCCTTTATTCCATTTCTAGTTCATATAAAAGAAAAACCTTGTACATAACAAGTTAGTTGGTCGAGCTTGCAAGGCATTGTTTACAGAGTGGAGAGACCAATATGGCCATTATGAGGGGGCTGACATAGGAATAACTGAAACATCGTCAGTATGACCCACCTGGGATAAGAAGGAGGCATACTGTTTGGTGGTGAGGCAGAATTTCGCTTTCTGTATTGTCGCTCTTAGTGAAGAAAGGGGATGATGAATTTAGTGATACTCACAAAAAACTCCAGTGGTCCTACCTCACACATCTCTCTCAGAGTGGCCGCACAATAATAAATGTGACTGATTAGGTGCTGGGAGTTCGTTTCTAGATGTACCGCATGGTTGATGAGGTGTTGTAAAGTGGGGACTTGGGCATCAGGAAGAATGGGGCAGGAGGTAGAACCAAGTTGAAGGAGATTGGGGGGCTCCCTGCATAATGCAGTAAGGCGATCTATAACATTGCCTAACCAGTACTGGACGGTCCGCCTGTTGCTCTTATCAAATGTAAGGGTGCCACCGGATAGGCTTGAATCGAAAGTGTACTGATGACAACCTAACCAGTGAGTGTGAACCAGCAGCATAGAAGAAATGATCAATGGAAAGATTTCTCTGCCTACTCGTGCTTTGAAAGTGGGCAGATGTGACATCGGACTCAGCACAAGGTCTGGCACAAGATCCTTTCTCCAGGGGCCAAATTTCTGCACTGTCTCAATGAGGACTCGGTAAAAATAAGACTCATCCTGGGGCCCAAAGTCGTCCAAAGCATCTTGAACCAGATCCGAAAAACTTTCGAATTCCTTGGGCATAGACATTGGTGAATTCAGCGATGGTGAATTCGGCCAACGCCGCTATCCTCCATATATATATAGCACTTGGCACATGACTACATGTGATCGGTATATCATTAATGGAAATTGGGTTGACACTTGCCTGGACAACATAATCATCTACTCAAACGGAATTTGTTGAAGTTCCTTGTTTTTCTTTGTACGCTGCGGACTGCCCATTGAGTCCTATGAATTGAATTTCTTGCACACAGACATTTCCCTAAAGGATTGCCTGATGCTTCCATGTTGATGGACGCAGAGGATGGCTTAAAAGCCACCTCGTGCAATTTTCTTTCCTCTCCTCAGGTCACATACTTGGAACCAAGGTGAGATCTCCTTCATCCTTTAACCTTCTAACGTTGTATGTACTCTTAAACAGTCTGATCGGTCCTAGCCAAAGTAGTAAACTTGGGCCAGCAGCAATTGCCATTCAAAGGAGCGGCCCAGGGTGAGCAGTAAAAAATGATGGTATTATAGGATGGTGAAGGGGAGGGAGGTGGTGAGATAAGATGAAGACTAGGCTGTGATTGATGTAGGTGGCCTGCACGCTGCGCATCAAAGACCAAATGGCCAGTGAGAGTGCTTTGAATCAGCAACGGGTTCTGACGAAGGTAAATGAGGAAGGCCTCGGATGACCAGTGCCCAATTGCAGGGATACAATCAAGAGGCACTCCAGCGAGAGCGAGGGCAGTTGCTCCTCCTGAGTGGAAAGAGTGAAAAACCCTGGTCAGAAACCTGAGCAGACAGAAGCAATGTGACCATGAAGTCTCTGCATGAACGTGCCAACACGAAGACAATCACGAGACCTATATAGTCATACAACACAGGAGAGTGCACACCTGAAGGCTTCCTGGCCTTGTAGTATATGTAGCTAGTATATGTAGATATAACAATAAATTTGGACAACTCCATGACATGACAATATAACAATATAACAGGGAGGTGAAAGTATCACGTGACATTCGACACCGTGTCAAAGGTATATGGCAAGCGCAAAACTTGGATTCCTCGACAACTATGGATTCATTTGAAGGAGTTGACTCCATTTTTGAGACAGTAACTCGCTCAGAGCTTTCCCACGGCATCTCAGCGTGTGCGCTTCAACAACATTGGCATTGACCCTCAAACACTCAACCCTCAATCCTCATTGTGCCCTTGCTTCTCCTTGTCATTACCACCATCAACCGGCTCCAGTGCCAAACTACCCAGAACTCGGTATCGCAATACTGGGGAACCATAGGTCAAATGGGAGGATCGGGCACAGCAGTACGCCCCATTTCCACTCCCATAGCTAACCCATGCCCACAGCTACTGATTTCGCTCTCGCTGTAGAATTCCATACAATGCGCGATCAACTTTGCACTGGAAGACTCAGTCAAACATGGGTGTTTAACTGATGTCCTTTGCATGCTGGGGTCTCTACTGGTTGGTGCTCGGCGCCATTGTCAGCTTGGGCTGGGGCGTCGTGTGACTCGTGTGCAGGCTTGGGCTCATCATCGGAACCAGGGACTCGAAGCTAGGGTTGGGAGGCCTTAGCTCTTTGGGCTTGGCTGGGGGTTGCTAGGCCGTGGAGGTTATGCCTTTTGTGCCTGCACTCTCATGTCGTATACAACAGTTTGGGTTGGTGCTGCTACAGTAGGCACCGCCCATGGGCTCAGGATCGACGTTGGATGGCAACTTGATACTAAGGCCTCTTGGCCTTAGCTTGAGCTCGGTGCACTCTGGTGCTGTGAGATCGGGTACGGTCGTGGCATCGTGCCCTGCACTTGGGGGACTTTAACATCAAGTACGACATTACCGTCTAGCAATGTAGGCACCATCTGGTGTCTCCAGCATGAACATTGGGGGAAAAGGGTTCGTATGTCGCGGTATTGAGGACTGACGACATGTCTGACTCAGGTAAAACTCTGAGAAATTTCAAATGACGAAGGCATCTTGCACAACCTGCGTGGACCACCATGTTGGAATATCAATGCTCATCGACAACAGCCAAGCTGCAGCGAGGATTGGGGAGTTTTTACTTTAACTTAATATCATCATGACTAACAACGACTATATCCTTTTTATTTCAGAATCGCGATACCACATGCTCCCAATTTTTCCTTTGTCTTATATCATCAGTTGTCACTGGCAATCGCGTTAAGTGATATTCGTGCCAGTCGTATAAGTTACGCTGGATGCCGTAATTTTTCTCTCTCCCTCAGTTCTCCATTATGAGGCTGAGGTGATACCATTTCCCTCCTATCTGTGTTTGCGCATAACTCATTGTATTTTCGTGTTACAGTTACACGCGATAGGCGAAATATCTTGATATATAAGTTCTCCATTACGAGACTGAGTTATGTGCGATAGCTCCTATTCGAGCTGCTCCTCCTGTACCCTGTGACCCACCAGGAGAGTAACGATCACACGCCCCTACACCCATCTGTTGGGATTTATGAGGGGGAATATGATGTGTTTTTCCTCTTTCCGGGTGCTTGCTTCTTTAGCTAGACACTTTCCTCTTGTACTCAGCATGTAGATAGTCGATATGCAGTGTAGAATTGAGCTCAGATGGAAACAATTGTGTGGTTTCACATGTGAGAATAAGCGTGCATGTTGCATTCATCACTATTGCTGCCGCTGAGGCCAAATGGACCCCTACGATCTGGCCCTTCTTTCCTCCAAATTCCAAGTATGGTCTCATATCCTGAATACTTACCACCCAAGCCACAGCCCTCCATACCACTGGCCCCTTTGATCGCTCATTTGTTATTGTTATGTCATTTCGCTGCTTATTCCTCTTGCATGTACAGTAGTCACGATGTATAAGATCCTCACATATATACAGGTGGTTTTACCCTACAATATGACAAGATAAAAGGACTATGTCGTGGCTTATAGCAGGACCTTTTGACATGATTCTGGTTGCCGCTCACGTAATTCCAGATAGCGCCGGTTGGGTATAAAACCCATATGAGGCTGTGCACACTCTTTTTTCTCTCGGGTGCAGGAATATGGATTGGGATGGTGGAAGGGTGGGCCGCTCTTCTGCTGCCTAGCAATCCAGGCTCTCTAGCCTGCCCAAGAATGGCTGTACACACCTGGGGACCATTAGTCGGCTCTTGCAACCCAGCCAGCATAATTGGTAACCCTGCACCATCCCATAGTTCCCTCCTCTTCGTCATGGCATTGAGGGCCAACTTCGAGGTTGGCTTCTAGGTGTGTACATTGGTTTGTTGGCAAGTTAGCTGACCACAAAATTACAAGAAAAGACTGTATGTAGATCCATTGGGGAGAGGGTACATCTTACGTTCTGCAGCTTTCCATTTCCACTCGTTTCATCTTTCCTTCTTTCTGCGCTTCTGATGCTCCCTGGGATCATGACACTTTGGCACATGGGGATCAGAGCATAATCCCTCAAGGTGAACAAGGTCCCAGGCGGAAGTCTATCTAGGGCGTGCTGCCTAAGGCAGAAGCGCCAACTTGTCCATTGTTTTCTCTCTCTCTTTTTTACATTTTGATTATTTTTCTGGTGACTGGGGGAAGAGCTGCCTACAAAGTTGGAAGGTGGGAGGGGGAGTGTAGCTTGTTGATTATGTGTCAGAGCCCAATAAAAGGGGGTGCTTGGGATGTTATGGTCATGTGCCATGGTGCATGTGGCCCTTCCTGGTCTTTGCGGCATCCATCACGGTCCTCTCTATTCACTCATTGAAACACTACCAGCTGCCAATGCCCCACAAGCCGCCATAACGCATGTAACACCTGTGGCGCTTTTCTGACACGCTCATTTTCGAATAGCATGTCCGCTTCCAAAAAAAACTGTGGCCCTTGTTGAGAATGAGGTTGAGTACAGCGGCAAAGGTTTGCAAAAGCGCCATGACAAATATGCGGTACAAGATAAGAGAAAGGTACTTGGTGTTCTGCCCTGTCTTTAGCACCTATAAATTACTCTCCAGGTACGCTTTACAGCAATAGCCCACAACACGGAGGCACGCAAGCCTAAGGAGCTTGGGCCAGGCAAAAACTAGATGCGTGAGCTTGAGGAGTTCAGGTCAGAGGGGAGGAAAGAACAATCATTCATCATGTTGCTGATTGTCTTATTTCTAGGTTAACGAGCATCATGTTTACACCTTGCACTGCAGTCCCTCCCTTCACCACATCTATGTAATAAATCCTTTTTTCGTCATGTATTTGTCCAAAATCATGTCATAAAATCTTGTCCTGACAAAGCTGTGATTGTATCTGTAATATATCATCTTAACGTTGTGACGAATCCCAACATTAGTCGTGTATTCACCAAGGATTTTATGTTCTGCAAGCACGTATATTACATTTGAGCGACACAGATGGTATGCAGGGATTGGTGGGGATAGGAAGAAGAGCATTCAGATTTCTAGCTTCCCACAGTGTATGTTAGGGTGATGGTACCAGCAATCCCTTCAATGTGAGTACCTCGAACAACGGACTTGACATTCTATATCTTGGAAGAGGTCGTATTGTGAATAGTAGAGCCCAATCCACTCAAGCTCATTATGGGATGGCTTCTGTGGTTGTGTTAGGTTTCATTTGCAGCTTACTGGCCATCCATGCGTACCTCCATGCTAAATTCTCGCCAACTCTCCACATTTTCATCCACGCTTGACGGGGCCTCCCTGGTCAGAACCCATCGTACTGCCGCAGCCCATTCATCTTTTGAGAAAGCTGGGTGCTCCTCGGAGCAACCCTCTGGCCTCCTTGTCAGTGTCACCTCTGGCCTCACCGGAAGGTTTCTATGTTCCCTGAGGTACTTGCTCACTGCTTGGGAAAAATCGTCACGGAATCTTTGGTGGTAACAAGAGTAAGTAGCTAACGGTGCCACCCTTGTTATTCCCGCTGTCAGTGTGCCATTGAGGCCACTACAACTAGGCCACAACTGGGCATGACACATAACTCCTAAATCGTTTACCGGACTTCTATTCTCATTACACCATTGGAAAGGTGTGATTTTTCTCTTTTTTATGATACCAAAAAATCGCCATGGCACAAGTATTATGATTCACTGTGATTAGAATAGCATCACAAGGTCACAACCATGTTCACTGACCCCCTGGTGGACGAGTGGTGGACAACCATGCATCAGAATCAGGATTTCACGAGCCACTGCAAAAAGGGCATCATCCCCATCGATATGTACTATTGACTGCTACTCAAACATGTAACCAATCATAGCGATATCATGCTCAGCCTTAATAAGCTGGTCATCAGATGCTCCTTCGGGTCGCTTGATTTCAACATCATTCACGTTCATTGGATATCGCACTTCTCCAATTTTACCTGCCCAGTCAAAGTCGACTAGGAGGATCCCAGGCTTACCGTCTTTCCGGACCATGATGTTGGTAGTTCGAATGTCACCATGCACAAATTCATTTTGGTGGAGGTCGGTCACCTTCCTCTCGATTTCAGATTTGAACGAGGCTTTCATGTCTGAACACCGCAACTCATGATAATCATCACCGATCAAACCCATGACAACCATATGCCAACCCCCAGGAATGTCCTGAAAGCCCTCCAAAGCAGGTGCACATTTCAATGCGACGCATTTGAGATGTGCATCCTTGGAGTACCGATGAGTGAACTTGATGAATATTTTCTTATCACCAGCGGTACCAGAGAATAAGAGTCTCTTGTGGTCGAGCCACGATAAGTATTCAAATGCGCAGTTCTCGCCGCTGTCCAGGGAAATGAAATCGGTGGGATACGGAAAGTTGACGGTAGGATCGACCGTTATCTGTGGAAGTTCGGATTTGTAGTAGTGGTTCAACGCGAAGATCGCCTTCCTTGTTGCACCCAAAAAACGTGCAGTTTGCATATGCATATTGACGTCGGATGCATGGTAGAAGAGCGGCAAAGTGGGGGCCAGGACCTGGACATGAGGGTAAACGGTCCAGAGGGCACCTGCAAAGCCAATGTGGGTGCCTAGAATATGAACTTTAGGGTACATCCAGGAAACACACATGTAGTACTCACCAGCGAGGTAGAGAATAAAGCAAGGGAGACAGGAATGGGTTTTATCTACTGAGTGATCCCATGTCAAGGCGTTATAATACCAGGCGGCCTCAAAGAGAGGATCAGCACCGCCCGTGGAGAGCTCTTGCTTGACTTCGAGGAGCGCCTAGCAAAGGTTTTTATACCGAAGATCCCCATCAGTGCAATAGGACTTGATTTTGGTGGGCAAAAAGTCGAGTTTATAATCTGAAAAGTGATTTCGAGCTGTTTGAGCCCTGGCGTCCTCATTCCCAAAAAAAGCCGACATAGAATGGGAGAACTTCGAGGCGAAATCATGATCTTCCTTGGTGGGTGTGTAAGTTTTGCAGTCATCTTGGAACTCGCCAAAGATGCGATGATACAGTGTAATGGGTACCGTCACGTCAGCAATTGGGGGGCGGCTGAACGCGAACGCAGGGGGCGTCTTCTTCTGGTTGGCAGCAAAGGTATCGTGGACACCTTTGGATGAAGGTGCTTTTTGTGAAAAGGCTTCACAATACTCCTTGCGGGCTTGGGAAACAAGCCTGCCTTTATACGGGAACACGTGACGGGTGGAAGGGGTCCCCAGCCATTTACTGAAGGCAGCTACAGCCAATTCAGAGCGATTAATCTTGTATACCAATAACTGAGCTGAGCCAACGAAACCATAACTTACTATCTGGCAGTACAAAACGGGGCAGTTGCACGGTCAAACAGATAAGGAGTAACACAATAATTGGTCAATCATGCACTCACCAATACGTGGAACCTGGACGACAATGTGGAGATGTCTACGCTGAGGTGGATGGAGGAAAATCTCGGATAATATATCCACAGGTGATAGCGATCCCGCATCTTCAAGTTCGACGGTCTTCATAGCCTCGTCGAAATTGTTATCGACTGCAATGGAAACCATCCAGAGTGTGAGGGCGTCTGCGGGAACGTGATCGATGATGGGTGTCCTCCCCTCCTTGATGGCTTTCTTGAGGGCGCCGACACACTTTGAACTTGCAATTTCGACCGGAAAGATATTGTTGGCGTCACTGCCACGAATGAGACAGTACAGTTCAAGAATAGGAGGATCTAATTGTGGCACTAAAGACAAGCTTGAGGGGGAAACGAACGTGTTGAATGCTCACTGTCGTCCTCTGTCTGTGGCTTTCGGCCTGTCACAAAGTCAGGTGTCTACTTATCGGGATGAGTGTTGACACACCGGGCAACTTGACGAGCAGTGCCTCTCCATTTGACAGTGGCTCTCCATCTGACACTGCATTTCGATCTGGATTGATCAAGTGTTCTATTACCTGCCTCGGACGGAGTTTTTTAACCCCCCTATTAGAGAATGCCTTGCTGACTAGCTCCTTAAGCACTTCATGATCATAATCGACGAAATTAGCTGGTGAGTTTGTAAATCTCCACACTTCGAGCTCGAACGCAGCAGTGTCGTCAAGGCGAGGCGACACCTTATCCTTGACCTTCTCCTTCAAGTCATCGACATCAGTCTCAGAAGATACTTGGACCTTGATCGGCTGTCCAGCAACAGGCCTGCTTTCGTGATCGACGAGGAGGCACCAAACTTCCATGACAGTGAACCAGACAAAATAAATTCGGCCAACTCCGTGACAATTGCCTACAGCTGAGCAAATCGATAGGTCAAATCGTGAGCGGTCCGACGGGTCCCTATTCGAACTTAGGCCACCAAGTAGCCGATGGAACATTCAAGCTGCTTCTGACGTTCAATGAGTCCTATCCCAACAAACCCGCCACCATTGCCAAATATGCTCCATCCAAACGTTTATGCGAACGGAGAGCTTTGGCCGGTCACCTACCCACGATGTCGCTGCAGTACTGACGAGCATCTAAATGTTTGTTTCACGATCCCATCGGTATGGGTTTCGTTAGTTTTGACGCAAACCCTCATCTTATCCTGCACAACATCATTTGAGAGTGATTGATTACGCATGTACAAACAGTCAGCTCTCCTTTAGGGTTCATGTAAATGACAAGTCTGGTAGCAATGCGATGTGCTCAGAGTCGACCTCCCCCAAACCCGTGTCAAGCCGAGTCAGACAGATGCTAAGTTAAGAGTTGATAATGGTGCCAAGGCTAGGATGCTGGATCACCAGAACCCCATAGATGGTCCGAAGCAACGCCCCGAAATGACGACAGAGGAAGCAGACGGAAAGGATGAGACATTTCCTGCTTCGATTTTTGCGTGCAGGATCGAAATTTCGGGCAGAGTCAACTGAGCGTGACGATCCAAGCAAGTAAGCAACGTTAGTCGCGAGCCAGTCAGAAGTGGGGATGGGCATACTTACTGATAGGTCCAAATCCTTCTAATCGACCAGTGGTTTTCCCGAAGTTAACAATATTATTCCGGGCATGAAAACCTACTGGTTAAATGATGGAAGCACATGGAGATGGAGACAGGCAGCGACGATCGAGCGAGGGGCCCATGCCGAGATGGAGATGGCGGTATGGGAGGTATGGGAGGCTCAGGCAGAAAGGTTCAGGGGTGCGAGCTCAAGAGCGTTTGAAGAGGGATAAAGGTGAGTGATACCCAGTGAAAGAACACCGGAAAATCAGCCAATCGACCATAAATCGGCGTTCCAACCCTCAAAACCCCAGCGGAATCGACGCAAAAGCTGAGCACAATGCAGCCTGTCATCACCAACCCCACGGGTCATCGATTCTGCGAAAATCGGTGAAATTGCCCACAAATTCAGAATGTGCAGCACACAGTGGCCCGCCACCACAGACGTTGTACAATCGCTGATCAGGAGTCGAGAGAAACATTCGATGGTAGAAAGGAAGACTCGAGCATGGAGAGTCTGAAGCGCTTGAGCCAAAGAAGTTGAGATGGCGAGTTTGGTGGCGAGATCGAGACAGAGATATGGGGGAACCGATACTTACGTCGTCGAGGACAAGAGACAGTGTAGATTCCTTAGCATCAGAATCAGCGGGCTGCGACTCCGATGAAGCGACTGGGCAATGCATGCCTCAGGACCGGTAGCGTTTCTAACGCTAGGTCTAACGAAGGATATGACTCGCTCACAATTCAGCCCAGCGGACACTCCTTTCGAGGATGGAACACTCAAGTTGGTTTAGGTACGGATGGTTTGACGCAAATGGCTCCTCGAAAGTCGCATCGTCGTCGACACTGAAACCGATATGACACGCCTGGACCGAATTCTCGTCAGCCAGCAATTTATGAATGAAACAAGAGAGCACACGCAAACGGAGGCACGGAGGCGCGACTAATTGGTATGGGTGAGCGTAGCTAACCTAAATGCCCCACCCAGCACGTTCCACAAAGAGCACGTGAAGGAGCACGTGTCCTCTTTTTTTTGGCGGAAGAAAACCTTGTTTATTTTACCACTTTGCCTCCGGCTGGCTGTATGCTAGTATAGGCACAATGTATTACTTCCCTATTCCCCCCAAAAACCCTATACCATACTCCATGGATGAAAAAATCTGTCGACGCTGCAAACAGTCCAGGCCCCTCCCACAATTTCGGCCTACAACTGCTGGCCTTACCCTTGCCTGCATTGTTTGTTTGGACCTTGTGTTGTTTGAGCAAGACATGACGACGCGCCGGTACGCATATCATGCCCATATCGGCTATCCGATATGATACCCTTTACCATGTGTTTCGTGTTTCAGTGTTGATTGCCTTCCACATGTAGCGCTGTCGCGTATCACATTTTCTTATCACTTTTGTCTGATATCCGTGTTATTACTTTAACTACTTATACCGCTGTGCGGTTACAATATTAAGTCGGTTGTTCCCCCGTTATCTGAGTGTCCCCGCTGAGAGCTACACAACAACAGGTTATGAGCCCAGCCTAGGGCTTAACCACCGTAACTCAAAACACTCGACGCTGCTTACATCTAAACCTCGCGCTCAACTTCTAGTCGACCTAACCCATGGCTGAAGACTTGGTATCCCTCGGCAAACGTCTCCCTATCTTGTCCGGGAAGGAAAACTACACTCAATGGAAAACCAGCATGGAGGATATACTGACTTACTCGGATCTATGGGCTTACGTTCAAACCGGTTACACGTTGCCCACCGATGCGACTCAGAAGGCCACAGCCGAGAAGGCACAGCGCAAGGCGCTTACGTTGATTCGTCTGCAAGTATCACCGTTCGTCCACACGTTTGTCGTTGATTCTCAGACCCCCGAGGCGGCCTGGAAGATCCTCAAAAGGGAATTTGAGGTGACCGGCGCCACATCCCGCATATTCCTTCGCCGGGAGTTATACACAACTCGCATGGCCGAAGATGACAACCTGGACATGCATGTCCAGAAGATGCGCACGATCTATAATAATCTGCGCATAGCCGGTGATAATATTCAAGACTCAGAGTTTGTAATGGCGTTACTTATCTCACTCCCCACCTCCTGGGATAGCTTCACCTCTACCATTGAACTCAAAGATCTCGACTCTACGGACACTGCTGTGAAGAGCGCTGCTGCTGATTACATCCTTAACAGGATTAAAGGCGAAGCCAATCGTCGTCAATCGCGCAATACAGAGCCGTCCAACTCCGCATTCAATTCCAAATCCGACCAACCAAACAAAGACAAACAGAAACCCGATCGATCCAACTCCGAGTGCCGCTACTGCCACAAGCATGGACATTGGGCCAAGGAGTGCCGGAAGCGGATAGCAGACGAGAAGAAGAAGAATTCGGCAAATGTCTCCTCTCAGGAGCAGGAGCCGAGCTTCTCCTTCGTCGCATCTGCCAATCCTGCTGTCCTGGCTGGTAGTCGATGGATTGGGGATACTGGTGTGGATGACCATGTTGTATCTGAGCGAGAAGCCTTCTTTGACTATGCAGAGACCCCTGGCCAGTTTGTGACTGGCGTAGGGGGAGCTAAGGTTCCCATCCGAGGACGCGGGACTGTTGCAACGGTAATGCATGCTGGGGACTCTTCACGGATTGTCACTCTCCACAACTGTCTACACATTCCATCATCCCAACCCAACCTCCTATCCCTTTCCCGTCTCGACGATGTCGGTGGTACCATGCAAACACAGTCCGGCCAGATCAAACTTCTCACGCGTGATCGCACACCACTCTGTGATGGCCGAATCCAAGACCACCTCTACCGTCTCGACATGCAGACTGTCGTGGCCGATGCCCCTTCCATACTAGCTGCGATTTCAGGTGATTCTTCGCCCAAAAGTCGTACCTGGGAGGAGTGGCATCGGGCCCTCGGACATCTTAACCCGTCCTCGCTTAGGACGATGAGGGACATGGGAGTCGTTGAAGGCTTGGAGGTTACCCCCAATTCCACTCTGAATTTCACCTGTGAAGCCTGTATCCAAGCTAAGCAGACCTCGAGGCCTTTCCCCAAAGAGTCCAGAACTAAATATAAATCAGTCGGGGACTTAATCGTCACCGATGTCTGGGGTCCGGCTCAGGTTCTAGGCAAAGGCGGGTATCAGTACTTCATTTCATTCACCGATGTTGCCACCCGTTTTAGCGTCGTAGCATTCCTTCGTCAGAAATCCGAATCGGTTACTCAATATCGTCGATTTGCTGCTCGCATCCAGACTCAGTTCAATCGTAAAATCAAAGCCATCCGGTTTGATAGCGGCACCGAGTATCTCAATGATTCGATGAAGTCTTTTCTCGCTGAACAAGGAACTACGTACACGACAACCGCTCCCCATTCCTCCGCCCAAAATGGCATTGCCGAGCGTCTGAACCGCACCGTTCTAGACCACTCGCGTGCCATGTTGTTCGATTCCCAACTCCCTAAGTCCCTCTGGCCCTATGCCGTATCATATGCCACTTTCCTGAAAAACCGTACCCCGACGCGCGCGCTTGATGGCCGAACTCCATACGAGTCCTTCTTTGGAAAGAAGCCAAGTGTCGCAGGCGTTCAAATATTTGGGTGCGATGTTTGGGTCCTAGACCAATCTGGTAAGAATGGGAAGTTAGATCCCCGTTCTAACAAGTTCAGGTTCTTAGGCAACTCAGAGGAGACCACCGCCTACTGGTATTACAAGTCCAGCGGGGAGGTTGTGAAGTCGCGGAACGTCATTTTCCCTAACCCCACCCCTGAGAGTCCACCTTCCCTCCCTCTTCCACTGCCATCGCCTGAGGGGGAGATTGCTGAAAGTGGACAGGCGACGCAGGAAGAGGGGGAGCACGCTACCCACAATCCCATTTCCCTTCCCAAACACTCTGAACCTCCTTCCAATCAGTCCAACCACCCCATCCGCCCATACCACACACGCCGTACTCCTCTGAACGAGCCTTTCCTCAAGGTTGTCTCCGACCGTGGTGCTGTTCAATCAACGGTACAGTACTCCCATTGTGGGGACTGTGACCCTGTTGCTCTTGCAGCTTTCACAGACGAGAAACCCGAGGTCAAGGACGCTCTTCAAGGACCTCATGCTGAGCACTGGCGGGCCGCGATGGATGCCAAAGTCGCACAGTTACTAAACCTGGACACTTTCGAACCCGTACGTGCACCTGCGGATCGGAAAGTTATTGGATGTCGATGGGTTCTAGCTACAAAGAAGGATGCTGAGGGGGAGATTGTGAAGTTTAAGGCCTGGTTGGTTGCGCAGGGTTTCGCGCAGGTTCCGGGGATGGATTATGGTGAGACTTTCTCACCAGTGATGCGGACTGAGTCGTTCAGGCTCCTGCTGGCACTTGCTGTGCAGCTAGACCTGGAGATTCACCAGATGGATGTCGTAGGGGCGTATCTTAATGGGGAATTGGAGGAAGAAATCTATATGAAGCAGATACCATGGTATGAGGATGGGACGGATAAGGTCTTGAGGCTGAAGAAGACGCTCTATGGCCTGAAACAGGCAGGCCGAGTCTGGAATAGACGTTTGCACACTGCTCTTGTCGATCTGGGCTACACTCGTTTGTTCACGGACTCATGTGTCTACATTCGGCGCTTAGACGACCAAATCTCTATGATCGCGTTCCACGTTGACGACTCCGCGATTTTCGCCAATGACGCTCACATGGACCAAGTCAAGGATGAACTTAAGTCTAAGTTCGACACACGCGACCTTGGTGAGCTACATCATTTCATTGGGATTAAAGTAACGCGAGATCGTACACGCGAGTCCATCACCATCTCCCAATCATCCTATACCCACGAAGTCCTCGAACGGGCTGGGATGGCCGACTGCAACGTCGAAGACCTACCCATGTCGCCCAAGAGGAAGCTTTCCCCATTCCCTGGCCCCCGTCCAAACTACCCTTACCTCACTATGGTCGGATCACTTATGTAGTTGGCTATTAACACCCGTCCCGACATCGCATTCGCCACTCAACATCTTGCCCAATTCAACACGACATACGGACCCGATCATGTTCATGGTGTCAAGCGTGTCTTACGTTACCTTAAAGGCACTGTCAATCGCGGGATCGTGTATAGGGAATCTGACTCTGGTTTCGCTGCCGAAGGTTTTGCTGATGCTAACTATGCAGAAGACTTCGATCGCCATTCCATTACCGGTGCCGTGTTTGTTATGTCTGGTGGACCGATTGCGTGGACGTTGAAGAAGCAGGGCACTATCGCCCTTTCTACGTTGGAGGCCGAATATGCTGCTATCAGCCACGCTGTTCAGCACATACTTTGGCATAATATGCTTATGGCGGAACTAGGTTTTGAGGCCCCGCGTCCATTCAGGCTTAACAGCGATAATCGAGGAGCGATAGCGTTGTCGCGCGACCCTCAGTTCCATGGCCGCAGTAAGCATATCGATATCCGTCATCATTTTATTCGCGACCACGTCGAACGTGGAAATATTTCTATTTTTCACATCCGTTCTGAAGATAACTTGGCTGATATTTTTACTAAACTGCTTCCGAACCCCGTTTTCACCAAATTTGTCTCTTCACTAACGGACGACGTCATGACTTGAGGGGGAGTGTTGTTTGAGCAAGACATGACGACGCGCCGGTACGCATATCATGCCCATATCGGCTATCCGATATGATACCCTTTACCATGTGTTTCGTGTTTCAGTGTTGATTGCCTTCCACATGTAGCGCTGTCGCGTATCACATTTTCTTATCACTTTTGTCTGATATCCGTGTTATTACTTTAACTACTTATACCGCTGTGCGGTTACAATATTAAGTCGGTTGTTCCCCCGTTATCCGAGTGTCCCCGCTGAGAGCTACATAACAACACCTTGACAAGGCCCGGCAACGGGAAAAAGTGCGGGGGAAGTTGGCCCACACCCTTGAAACCCTCCCAACCATTGGTGATTTCTACTCAATGCTCGAGGCTGCCAAAGAAAAAGAGCATCATACCCATACAATCCCTTTCTATTCTGAGGGTGTGCAGTTCGTCCGAATTACCACTCTAGGCAATGATGACATCCTCAGTGTGGACCCTGAGAGTCATACTGGAGAAACGGCTTACAGGGCACAAGCAGATGCTATAGGTGTACAGTGTCGAGACATTCTTGGCTACCGGTGGAAGTACGTTTAGCTAAAACTTGATAATTCTGAAATCACATTGAGTAACCCTACTCACTTCAGTTATCATGGCACCAAAAGACGCTCGGGAAAGAAAGAAGAGACTCCAGCTCTCCTATTTCGGTATCGCTGTGCACAAGACCAGTATCTTCAGAGATCACGAAAAATTGCTGACCACGCAAAGCACCAAGATCGACGTACCCATGCTTTTTTTGGCTGTGAAAGTCATCTGGACATCACTCTGCAAGTTATTCAGGGATTACTTACTGCAAGGATTGATCTAAAACACACCGATGATCATATTCCCTACCGTGCAACGCACCTGCCACCAAAAGCCTTAGAGTTGATTACACTCAATAAAGATAAACCTTTGAAGGATGTAAGTGACCGGTTCCAATCAATACACATGGGAACTTATATATTGCTAGCTCTGGCTGGATGTCCGAAGGGAGTACCCAACACTGCCATTCAGCCGAGATGCTGTGTATAATTTTTGGCGCTCCCTCAAGATGAAGGATTGGAAACTGGATGATGATCCAGTAATCTCGGCAAAAAAGTTGTTGGAGAAAGCAAGTATTGACAATGGCTGGGAAGACTTACCGCGTCGAGTCCACATAATCGAATTAGGGGAGAGTGAAGATTATGAGAGTCTTGGATTCTCAATCACACCGGTGCTGGAATTATGGCGAGGTCGCATTAAGGAATTAGTAATAGACTCAGCATGTAAGTTCCTTTATCCAGATATGGTTGAAATGACTTAGCATTTCAAAGGGAAATGCGCAACTGGTAATTGGGAATTGTTTGTGCTCCTTGGGGAAGCAAGAGGTTCGGGGCTCCCATTGGGCTGGTGCTTTGTGAGAACAAAGTCAAAACAACCAAAGGCCGGCAGTAAAGAAGCTGTGCTTACCACATGGCTCAGACATTTCCGTGATGATTGGAATATCAACGCCCTTGTCACTCATTCAGATAAGGACCGCAGCGAAAAAGTCTTTCCTACTGCCAAACACCAGCTTTGTTTCTGGCATGTGTTGAGAGCGGTGAAACAACGGCTTGCTGTCCTCCGTCGCCAACCAGCTCCGTATAATGCTGCACAAGCGGCAACCGAGTTTGCATTCATCAACCCAATCTTCATACCCATCCACCAAAGAGAAAAGCTCCCTGAAAAAGTCGTAAGTGATGCACCTCTTTAGTGTGTGCTCCATCAACTAACTTGAGTCATAAGAGGAAAGATGCCGACATACCTGTTATTCGTACCCACATTCCTCGGGTTTCTTTTAAGCTTGGTGGACAGCTCATTCAACCTCGCCTGGAAGCAAGTACCCACTTGGCCGTGAGGGTGGGAAGTAGTGAGGTGGAGGAAGTCCCTGAGGGCCACGACGACGACGATAATAATGCTGACAGCATCCCTAGCGATGTTAGGGATTTGATTACAAAAGTCCTGAATTGGAATGTCGGTAATAATCGGGAGGGGCAGGAGGGCTGTGTTGATGATGGCGATGCAACTGATGAGGCCGACGAGGAGGATGCACCGGATTGGATGTTTGAGGCTAATGAAACTCGTTCAGCGGACCCAGAGTATGAGTTTTGCCCTGCAGTTCACCGAAAACAAATTCTGTTAATACTCACCCGCCATTTCTGCCGCCACCCCTTCTTCCCCACCCGTAATGGCATACATCAAAGTGATTGCGAAATCCGAGACAACTCTGTGCAGGAAATGTACACCTTCTGCATTAAACGAGGCTTAGCGGATGTCTGGGGTTACCTCTGGACATCATGGTACTCACCTTTGGCATGGAAACTCTGGGCGCGGTCCAGCAATCCATCAATTCTCTCACGTCTACGAACCACAATGACAGCGGAGAAGCACTGGCAATATCTGAAGCACACTCACCTAGGCTTCATGCACCGGCCACGGCTCGATCAAACCATCTACACAATGATAACGGGCGTTATTCCATCAATAATTGACAAATCAATTGAGTTGGATGGCACACGTCGCCTTGGACTGGCCCCGCCACTGACAACCTTCCAAACCCAGGCCAAAAAAGCTTGGCGTCTTCTTGCAAAGCGGCCATGCAGCGGAATCGACTATAGCACGGATGTGATGAAATAGGTGTGTGAGTGTGGTGGCCAGCAGCTGCGGGCGCAGCACCTTTGCAAGCATCTTGTTCAGGCCATTCAAGCGCGTGGCCCTCTGCCTCCAGACTTCTTTGAAACACTCTCACGGCGACGCACAATGCCGATCTACAAGATTGCTCACATACGTGGAATGTCCGATATTGATAATGGCTCAATTTCGGATGGCAACGACAGTTGGCTAACTGTCCACAAAAACCTGTCAAGAGGCGCATGGAGACAGCATGTGACTGGTGGCCCCACCGGCATGACTGCTGAATCGTCAAAACGCTGCCACTCATCATGTGAGGCTGAGGAAATACCCCGGAAGAAGGTAAGCCCACCAAATTCATATCCTGTCGTGTTGTCAGTCACTAAGTAGACATTCAGCCCAAAGGTTATTTGCGTGATTCTTCATCCTCCGGTGACACTGTGGGTTATGGGTCAGATTCTGATGAGGTATGCCTGTGCTTATTCTGCTCAAATTATGCGTGCAGTCCCGGATAACTGACCCAAAATTTTACTTAGTCAATTGAAGGGAAAGAGAAAGTCCGGGTTTTCATGAATAACCTTGACCGTTTGCTGCAAATTCTCGCCAAACAATCCGGATTTAACAATCCGAAATGGGACAAAGCCATCGCTGCAACTCCCTTATTCACAACCGCTGGCAATATCATTGAAGACTACATCAAAATTGTAGAACACCATGAAGCGCGGCCTGAGAAGACATAGCCAAAGACTACCCAAGAGCGCCAGGCTTCTCCTTACACCCTCTACCACCAGGTCTAAGCGATATCTATTCACCCTAAACTAAATCGCGATCAAGGCTCTCCCACCCACTGCTCCGCTATCGCTTGAACACTGTCATCTAGCCCAAACCCACCACCTTCGTCGCGAAGCCTGCCAGTGTGGGAGGAACCATCTTGTCACTGGTGGAGTCAAGCGTAAGCATCATGCCACTATTGCTGTAGCTGTGGTTCAGAGTCGGAGAGCGACAGAGGGAGTGAATCGATTTGGATTAGGCCACACCCACGATTGATGATAACTCGCTCTTTCATCAACCTTATGCTTGCGATGTTCTCTTGTTCTTTGCGCGTTTATGTACATTAGAGTCACTATTCATCTTCTAACTGGTCATTGACTTGCTATCAACATATGCTAAAACCCTCCGAACCCACATTCTTGAACATCATCTAACTTAGACTAATAGTGCGTGTGCGGGCCCAGCCGGACGACCGTCTCTTTCTAATCTTACAGTTTGAAATTATTGAAACCTCTGGTTGATTTTAGAATCGTATTTTACATTTTTAAGATTTTTTTTTCACCTGCACATGACCTTTGTGGAACGTGCTGGGTGGGGCATTTAGGTTTAGTGGGTGAGTGTCCGTCCTCCATCTTCAATGGCAGGTCGGGTTGGGGTGATGTGCAACAAGGGCGAGAGAAAGGAAGTTCAAAAAAAAAGCTGGGTCATTCCAACGGACGGTAGGGTCACGCTTGCACAAACCACCGGGAAGGGACCCGTTGGCAGCACTCAGTGCCAGTCGCATCATGGGATGGTCATGTGCAACGTTGGGCCTTTTATGGAATGGAGTGGAGGGTCAAGGAGCGCGAGAGAGAGGAGATGCCAACGTGAGGCTCGATGGTGCACTTGGTATGTTACGCGGGGGATTCCGAAACGCCTGAGAGGGCTTGTGTTCGAATCCCTCCGGTGTTCATCATTAAGTTTTTTCCATTGGGTCACTTCCCATAGTTGCTGGATCCTCCCAGGCTCCTGTGATCCCTCCACCCCTCTACTCTTCCTTGGCAAAGTCGGAGTTGGCACTTGGACTTGAGGACGTCCTCCTCCTTTCCCGAAAAGGAAGGAGGAGTGACCCAGAAAGGCAGGAAGGGCCTCCGAAAGGGGAAGGAGGCTACCTTCCCGAAAGGGGGAGAGAAAAATGGTAGTAAGGTACTACAGTGGGATGAAGTGAGTTGTGTGGTTGGGTTGTTGTCTTCTCAAGTCCTTCTCAACTTCAGTTCTAACCTTTCTTGCTCTCTTCTCCCCACTTTCTTCCTATCAAAAATTTCTCTTGTGGCTGTGCAAAAACTGCACTGCCACTTCTCTTTTTTTCCTTTTATAATTTTCACTAAAATCACACCTTCCTAACTCTATCAACCATTTTCATTTTCATCCATCCAGTCAACTTATTCCACTTTTAGTCTCACTTGCACCCTCACTGCACCGGAGTGCACCCTCAAAATTCATTTGCCAAAAAAAAATATTTAAAAGTTCCATTCCATCTCTGAAAAAGACCCCATATTTATATCTATTTTCTTCACTAAGATATTTCACTTTTAATTTCACTTGCACCCTCACTTGCACCCTCTGGCACCCTCGAAAAAAAACTTCCCCAAAAAATTACAAATAAAATATCTCCCCATTCTATCTCCTCACCATATTCCACTCCAAAACACCCCGCATTTTTCCCTATTTTCTTCATCCACTTATCAATTTATTAAGGGCACAACTTGGCACACTATTTTCTTTCCTTGATAACTTGGTAACCAGAGCAGCTAATCACTCCGGGTTTGTTGCATCTTGTAGAGGACATCTATACGGCCTTTGGACATTCATCAAAGCCTGATAATACCAACAAATGGATGAATAATGGTCCATGGCACGATTCGGCACAAGTCAATCGTGCCCTACTTGTGCCATTCCTGTTTTCTCCCCCATTTCTCAGTATTATCAGGCGTCGTTGATGTTCCAAAGGCCGTATTCATAATCTCCACCGGATGCAAAAGACCCTGAGTCAATAGCTGCTCTCGTTCTCGAGCTATTCACTAAACACACTTGTGCCCTCCACTCGTGCCCATGGTCCCATGTTTGAACTTTATTTCTTGAATAACTTCACAACCAGTGACCCGTTTCGCTCAGGGTTTTCTGCATCGTGTATAGATTTTCAATACCTACCTTCTGATATGCTATACACCCCAAATGAATCGATTCTCAACTTGAGCTCAAACACTAAAACTCAGGGCACAACTTTGTTTCCTCAATAACTCAGTAACCGTGGCAGCTATTCGCTCGGGGTTTTTTGCATCTTGTAGAGGAGATCCATACGGCCTTTGGACACTCGTTTATATTTCATAATATTGAGAACTGGCCGAGTACTGGCCAATGGCACGATAGGGCACGACTAGGGCACGACTGGGCACGACAATGAATTGGCCATAACTCCTGAACCGTTTACCGGACTTCCATTCCCGTTACACCGTTGGAAAGGTGTGATTTTTCTCTTTTTTATGATACCAAAAAATCGCCATGGCACAAGTATTATGATTCATAATACCCACTGTGATTAGATAGGATCGACAAGGCCATTGACCGTTCGGACAATTGCCAGGGCATACGCTTGTCGAACCCCAAGGAACGACGAACCATTGACTTCCCTCCTAACATCACTGTGATCCAGCAGAACAGCCATTAGCCATGTGGACTCTATTGAGTGCAGAAGAACAGTTGCCACCCTCCGCAAACTAGAGAACAATCAATGTCTGCGAGGCAAATCGGCGGGGGTCAACACACACTTTGGCAAGGGCCTTTCGCTTCGAGACCTCGTCAGCAGCGTCGGAAAATATCCAAGAGCATACTTCTTCAAGCTCTGATATTGAGGCCCAGGGAACTTGTTGGGGGAGTGGTGGTCGAACTGGTTATTTGCAGCACCTATTTTCTCAGCGTAAATAGCCCATAATAAATCGTTCTCTCGGTTTGGGGGTGCGCATGCCAACGGACCACTCGGCCTTGGCTTGCGATACTCCATCTTCCGTTCACAATAAACCTATCTTAGGCGTTCGTTGACATTCATCCATCCCATACCGATCCTGATTTAACGCATGAACTACTTAGGGGCATGAAGTATGTGCCACACTCGAGTTAAAACCAGGTCCACACACCGGCCACACTGGCTCTCGAATGATGTTGCTGATGAGAGATACATACGTACTATCCTGTCTGACAGAGATAAATCTTATAGAAATTGGTAGTAACGGCACCTTGACGAGCTCTGGAAATGCTACTATTCTTCCCTACGCTGGTCCCTACCCTGCTTCTGGAAGTGGTCCTCATCGGTACACTCTCCTGTTGTACCCTCAACCAGCTACGTTCGTGGCCCCTTCGACCCCCAAACCCAACACTGGTGTCCAGCTGTTCAAGTGAGCTACCTTTTGATTGTTTTTTTTGTCCCCGTCTCGATCTTTAACTGTAAACCTTTTTTTTTTTTAGTTTGACGCGTTACGTTAGTGAAGCAAGTTAATGTTTTGTTCACCTTGGGGTGTATCATAAAACCTCCTTGGCTGACGGGGTGATATATATGATTTATCCAATTGCCGGTTCTTATTTCACTGTGGAAGTCGGTACCACTACCGTTACCCCGCTCTCTACTTCGCCCGTCGACACTAAAACTCTCACGTCTATCTTATCGGGAACGAATCCTGGCTCGAGCGCCTCGACCACCAGCAGTGGTCAAATGATATAGGGGGCCCTAAGGGTCAGGATGTACGTTTTATTTTGGACCAACTGAATAATAGGAGCTGCGAGGCCAAAGGCCTGACAAGACGGATCGAGTGAAGCAGGCACTGCGCCCCTTTTTTGATCACATCGGAACCAAGCCTTTCCATACGACATCCGTTGCCAATGAGGCAAGGCACATCAGCCTGAAGCATTAGAGATGCGCAGTATAACCTTCTCAGGTTTATCGCGCTCAGGTTTATCGCGCACTGCATGATTCTCGGAACATATCAACAACGACACTATTCGATAGACCGAAAGCCAACCATGCCGTTCTCGCCTTTCTCTCTTCTCCGCTTGATGTCACGGAGATCAGTAACACACCGTTCGATTTTTGAAAGGCGCCCATCATCTGCAGCCGCAGCGTTGATCGCTAGGTACAGAGGATGGTGGGCAGATGCAGGAAAAGCGTGAAGACAGAGGAAGGAGTGGTTGAGGTGATACTATAAACGAATGAGTGCTGATCGATTTTGTACGGTGTGAGAAATGACTCGGAACATAGGTAGCGTCGGCATGGTTCCTCGAGTCAACGAGTTTGGAGTGCGGAACGGATGGCATGACGGGAACAAGTGAGTGAGTAACAGCTGAGACGAGTTAGCGATGGGAGTGGAAACGAGGCGTACTATTGTGCCCAACCCTCTCAATCGACCGACGGTTCTCCAGCGGAGCGATGACAACACTAGGTCCCTACTGTTTGCCGAATCGAGCGAGGTCGATAAGAATCCCACGACCTGGCTTCAGGTTCCCTGTGCCCCATGGCAAACGTCCCCTTCCCACACAATGGCCTTGAATGTTGAGGATAGCGCAAAAACAAGGAGATGACATACAGAAGAATCAGTCCAAACATAGCGCGTCCTCTAGTCGCTTGAGCTTGCCCAAAGAAGCACTCGCGCCCCTGTCGTATCCAGACCCAGGAACTCCTGCACATGATACTAATGGAGGGTCTGGGTTGCCATGTATCGTGTCGATGCGGTCATCGATGATGTTGAAGATAGGTGTCTGACTACGTAATCTTGCTCCCTAAGCCCAAGTTACACTCAACGACGGGGCTCACCGTGTAAAATAAAGTTAGAGTGATGCCAAAGGAGCAGGAGAGCCTCTCTGCAGCGTAGATCCCATTCTGAATATGGACTGGATGCTTTGGCGGAAGTTTGGGACTTCCTGCAGCGTCTCGGATCGTTTGGTCGTAGAGCGCTTCGCTTCATCCAAAGGCGTACCCATTCCGAGATATGTACCGAAGCGTGGACTCACATTTGAACTCAGGTTGGACCTTTCGGATAAGTCCAGCAGCTCTAATGAGGTCTTCAAACTTGTTAGGACGATATCTGGTCTAGCAATCCCGGAACTGGTGGTACAAACAGAAAGACCATGTGAGCACTGGGATGCATGGTCAGATCCAATGACCAAGCAGGTGGGCAGACGGTAAAGGCGTCGTCGTTGTTGAAGCGTGTAATATCGAGATTACCGAACCAACAACTGCGCGGGCTTGGTGAATGATGGGAATTGGGAGATGAATAGGTTCCAAGGGCATCGCAGAACTTCAGAACGGCGAGTTAAAGGGGAGAAATATATGAAAGGGGAAAAAGTATGACGCACCAAAAATCATCAAACTCGGCCATCTGACCTCCCAAAACTGAAGCAACCGCCACCGCTCGAACGGCAACAGATCGCCTGCCAGCTTAGGACGAAGGTCCTAACGTAAGATCCGGGCCAATAACCCAAAGGACTGGCCAAAAATGACACAGAAGGCCGTCACGAAGCATCCCGCCCAAAGGTGCCTATGGCCGGGGAGATCCGGGGTGAACTTGAGCGCTGACAGCGCGTTGGACCAACGTGGGGAAGGAGGCTAGGCGACCCACCGCCATAGATCATGGAACCCCATCAATCTGATCGCCACCAATGCCATGGAGTTTGAGCTCGCGACGCGCGACCCGTAATCTAGTCCGACCGTCAGCCTTCCTAGCCCCAACTACAACGGTCGAACGGCCCGTCAATTATCGATAAGGATATTCGAAGTACCTTGGGCCCGAGTCTGGGCGAGCGGAAATGGGGAGATGGTGGATGATAGGAAAAGGGGAATATGGAGCGGGTCAAAGAATGTCAGAACGGCGATTTAGGGGGGGGAAGAAAGCCACAACAGGCGCACCAAAGATATTCGACCAAAACTCGCCCATTTGACCTCCAAAACCCGTCGAAATTGACGTCCAGTGCTCATGCGAAGCAGCCCATCACCACACGACCCATTCCCCGTTGACAAAACCGCTCGAATTCTAGCGATTCATCTGATAGTTCAGATGAAGGTCCAAAACATCGAATTGGGTGAAACCGGCCCAGAGGACCAACCCAACCCGCTGAAATCAAGACTAGCGCGAAGCAGCCTGTGACCGCTGAGTCCATTCGCCGTCAATCGAAAATTCGCCAAATAGCTCAGATGCTGGCCCTGAAATTGACCCAAAGGGCCATCCAAACGCGCCGAATTTGACATGAAGGGCTAGCAGGAAGTGGCCCACGGCCACAGAGTCCACACCTCGTCGATCGAATCGCGAAAATCCGCCGAAAGTTTATGACAATGCGTTAGTAATGCACATGTGTGGGTTGGATATGGGCGTACTATGGTGCCCACTCCTCCCATTTAACCAGCGGTTCTCCAATTATGGGTGGCAGCGCAATGCGCAAGTTGCGTTCGCAAGCGCTGGTACCGGATAAAGCTGGGTATGTATATAAATGGTGTAAACCTGCGCGACATCGTTTTTTTTTTCCTCACCGGTGCAAGGAGGATTGGAGGTTGGGGGGGAGAGGGCCCGCTCTTCCCTGACCTAGCAATCCCAGGCCCTCAAGCCTGCCTGAGGACTGTGTTTGTGGTACTTAGCGCGCTCTGTGTGCCTTCGCAACAGTATAATTGGAGACTTGCACCGTCTCTTTATTCACAGGTTATTCTTATCATCGAATTTTTTCACTTTTGCAGTGTCTCAACTTGTGAGTAGTTGACTAACACTATTTTCACGCTTACCCTTTGTACAGGTAGGAAGGGGATCAAGGATGGGGAATAGGTGATTGGTTCCGGCTCAGGGAAAGACATTCCAGGTATGTGTGCGACTCTATCTTCCTGACCTTTGTCTAACTTGTGCCCAGCCCCTGTCTAGGTGGGGAACAAGGACAGGTTGGGGAATGAGTTATATTGGATTTGGCTAGGGAGGGCTATTCAGGTGTGTGACTCTGTTTTTATTTGTCTCTTTGCGAGAAGGCGCTCTCATCTCTCCCTCTCCCCACAGTATTATTTCCTTCCACTTTCTAATATCACTTTCTGCTTTGCCTCTGATGCTCCCTGGGAGCTTTGATGCTTTGGTGCAAGGGGATGAGAGCACATCCCTCAAGGCGTTCAAAGCCCCAGGCGGAGGTTCCTTTTTTTTGTTCCCCCTTTTTTTTTTCTTTTTCTTTTTCTCTTTTTCTTTCTTTCTCTGGAGGAATTCTATGAGTTCAAGGGTTGAAGGGGGTTTGAGGGAAATATGTATCAATAATCATTTATGTATCTGGTTGGGGGGAGTGGCAAGGTTGGGTACGAGGTTGGGTACAATTAATTGTTGTTTAATGTCTTCATTTCACGAGACTAATCACGGGTTAGCAGTCTGCCCCCAGCTGACCTCAGGTTTCCGCCCTTGTTTGCCACTGGCTGGGAAACCTGACTGCGCCCAGTCGCGACCGCTTTGGCATTCACATGCCTTCTCTCACCGATCGCGGTTTTCCCATGATTTATCGCGCAACTTAGCCTGAACGGGTCAAATCACGCTGCCTCAGTCGTACGCTGAATGTTTTCGGCGCAGATGCGCGAAGCGGACCATTCAGTGGAGGTACGTACTGAACTTTCGCTGTTGAGGAGAGGTTCCATACTACCTTAGGTTTCATACTACCTAGGTCGTGCCTATAAAGGGGCCCTGACGGATCCCTTTTCCCCTCTCCCTATCGCCTGGTATCTCGCGCTCCCCTGGTGAGTGAGATCCAATTTGCCGCTTGCCTTTCCGGGCTCACGCTTTTGACCCGCTGCCGCTGCTGCCACCTGCATATTACTCTATCCCGGATTTGCTGCTGCCAATACCGCGATTCTCGACTACATTCCCATCTGCTCCAGCCCCTAGCTTATATTTTCTTGTCTCCCTCCTCCTCCCCGATACTCCTCCATCTCTTCTTGTCGAATTTTTTCACATCGTCTGTTACTCTTTCTCTTCATTGTAGTTCACTTTCTCTTCATTGTATTTCACCTCTGTACATTAGCTTCTGTTTGCTGTTTTAGTTGTTAGCGCTTTCAGTTGTGGCTGTCATCAGTTCTAGTAATTTTCCTGCTCTTCCTTTGTATGTACGAGAACGCGGGTCACGCGTCGCGCGCATGCGGCAAATTTCACATGGGCCCTTTGTGGCCGTTGCCCACTACCAGCAGTTGTTAGCCCTGATTAGTGTTGAATTAATGTTTTATCGTGATGAACGCATGCAGTCCAAATATAATTGTACCACTGTTGCATAACATTCATGAGTGTATGTACAGGCAGGTTGTGTGCATGCAGGAGGAGTTGCAATAGAATAGCGTGCTGCCGACAATCTAGAATAGCGTGGTGACAGTCCCAGCAAATGCCAGAACCTCTGGAATTGAAGATGAGCCAGGTAATTTACAAGGAAGGAGACTGGGGAAGGAGGAGGGCAAAGCGAAAAAACAAGGAGGACGAGGAAGAACAAGGAGAAGAACAGAGGTTACAAAAACAAGGGAACAACCGAAAATAAAGAAACCTAGAAAAACTAGAGTAAGCATTCCCCCCTGCTCGAAATGCTTACCGGAAGTAAGGGACTCCGAGAGAAAACTAAGAAATGAGACTAAAAAAAAGAAACAAAGTAAAGGAGTTCAGCAGAGGTTGAGGTATAAGAGGGCCAGAGCCCAGAAGCATAGGCGGACGAATAAACACGTACGGAATTCGTCCAAAGAAATCGACCCAGGTATGCAGTGGCAATAACAGTACCAAGTTGCGCGCACGGCAAAAGCCTTGGTATAGAGCCAGTTGATGATGGTGGGGTGAGGTGGGTGTTGATGGTTGGATGGTTGGATGGTTGGGTGATTGAGCGCGACAAGATCCTGTGGGAAAGTTCTGAGGTCACATGGCATTCAACACCATGCGGACTTCTTTCTTTCTTGAATCAGCAGTTTTTTATCTTGACTCCAGTCTCAAGCGGCAACGATCTTCTTGTATTTGACTCTGGGACTCCAGATGCTTGGATCCTTTTACTTCTTGTGTTCAGTGATGTAAATCGTCGATATGCGCAGTAGAATTAAAACTCAAATGGAAACAACAGCATGGTTTCACATGTAAAAATAAGCGCCTCTAAAGGGATCTGTGTGCTTTCGTCAGCTTGAGGAAAGCCTATTGCAATAGAAAGAGTGTCGGCACCTCCAGGAGGAACAGAAATACAGTGACAACTTGAGTCACAATTTTTGTGACACAACAAGCGGTGATGCACACTCTGTTCCTCCAGGGGGAACAGAAAATGCAGTGACAACTCATGTCACAATTTTTGTGACTCAACCGGTGATGCATACTCTGTTCCTCTAGGGGGAACAGAATGCCTCTGTGACAATATTTTGTTACAATATTGTGACACAAGTGGTGATGCATGCCCATTCAAAAATTTCCACTATGCTTTCGTCAGCTTGAGGAAAGCCTATTGCAATAGAAGGAGTGTTGGCACCTCCAGGAGGAACAGAAATACAGTGACAACTTGAGTCACAATTTTTGTGACACAACAAGCGGTGATGCACACTCTGTTCCTCCAGGGGGAACAGAAAATGCAGTGACAACTTGTGTCACAATTTTTGTGACTCAACCGGTGATGCATACTCTGTTCCTCTAGGGGGAACAGAACGCCTCTGTGACAACATTTTGTTACAATATTGTGACACAAACGGTGATGCATACTCTGTTCCTCCAAGGGGAACAGAAGTGCATCTGTGACAACTTGTGTCACAATTTTTGTGACCAAACCGGTGATGCGTACTCTGTTCCTCCAGGGGGAACAGAAAATGCAGTGACGGCTTGTGTCACAATTTTTGTGACCAAACCGGTGATGCATATCCTCTAGGGGGAACAGAATGCCTCTGTGACAATATTTTGTTACAATATTGTGACACAAGCGGTGATGCATACTCTGTTCCTCCAGGGGGAACAGAAAATGCAGTGACAACTTGTGTCACAATGTTTGTGACTCAACCGGTGATGCATACTCTGTTCCTCTAGGGGGAACAGAATGCCTCTGTGACAATGTTTTGTTACAATATTGTGACACAAGCGGTGATGCACACTCTGTTCCTCTAGGGGGAACAGAATGCCTCTGTGACAACATTTTGTTACAATATTGTGACACAAGCGGTGATGCATACTCTGTTCCTCTAGGGGGAACAGAATGCCTCTGTCACAATATTTTGTTACAATATTGTGACACAAGCGGTGATGCATACTCTGTTCCTCCAGGGGGTACAAAAATGTGCAAGCCAAAGTAAAACTTGCTAGAGTGCCCTACTGCTTGATGCCCTAGCGCTAGGGCAGGATGACCCAGGTTAGGGCTAGGGATCCTGCCCTAGGGATTTTTCAAACCCTGGAACCCTAGGCCCCCTCTTAGCAGACCGGTGGCAATAGGCTATTTCCATGGTCGAAAATAGAGTAAAAAAAAAAAATACAGATGTGCACACTCTGTCTTTTACCAGTCACTGCTTAGCACGATGACGCTTGCAGGGGCGGGCTTTTACTCTGACAAGCCCCTCCTCCTCAGATTCCACTTCTGAATCTGCCCGCATTGAGTGTGTTGACTTTCTGTGTGAAAGTGAAGCTGGCTTAACCCACATGTCTGGGACTGGAAAATCATGCTGTGCAGCAAGGAGCTGTGCTTCATGACCAAGGAAGTGGCGAACAACAAGGAAGATAGGAAATCGTTCGGCCCCAGCTTTCAACAGCTCCTGGACCTTCAGCAACCTGTTCTCATACTCAGTATCTGAGTAGAGTTCCCAGTCATTTGGGAAGTGTGCTTTTGCTGTGAATGCCTTGGGTGTCAGAGCCTTCACAAGATTCATGCGTGCCAACACAGCGATCACTATTCCTTTGCTCCCTGCACAGCATATCAGTCAGCATTGGTGGTCAGATGAAATAAGCTACAGACATACTGTGCTTGTCACGGAAATTGGAAAACATGGTGTCATTGAGAGCTTGCTCAGCAGTTCGATCTGCTTTCTTGATGCCCT